AGGGGGGGGGGGAAGAGTCCGAGTTTGGTGGTTTGCTTGCAGACGTTTCATTACCTGACTAGGTAACATCTGATGTTGTTACCTAGTCGGGTAATAAAACGTCTGCCAGCAAACCACCAAGTTCAGGGAGCGCCAATGCCTCCTCATTGCAACCCTGAGCGACAGATATTCTCTTCTATTGGGACATTTAAAACGGAGGGTTTCAGCTGCAGATTCAGGAACTGCGCCTGGCTGAGGAGCGCCTTCAAAACTGAGCGCTGGGCGGTGGCGGCCCACGGCTGTCTCCGCGGCTCAGGACAAGTCCCTGCAGGATGGTTGAGAAGCCCCGCCTCTCGGCCCTGCCTTCCTCAGCCTCATCCCTCAGGTGTCTGCCTCGTTCCTCTCTCAGTCGCTCTCTCGCTCCTCCACCAGCCCAGGAAGAAACTGCTTCAAAGAAGCCGGCAGGGTGGCTTCCTGTCGGCGCAGCTCCTCCGAAGCGCCCGTTCACCCCCACCCAGCCGCCCGCGGTTCAATCCAGTGCTCCGTTCTGCCTGCCTGCCTGCCTGCCTTCGTTTCTGGTTGTTTCGGAGCAGCTTCGGCTGAGAAAAAGAGGCAAATAGTTATTATTCTCAGCCGAAGCTGCTCCGAAACAACCAGAAACGAAGGCAGGCAGGCAGGCAGGCAGGCAGGCAGAATGGAGCACTGGATTGAACCGCGGGCGGCTGGGTGTGGGTGAATGGGCGCTTCGGAGGAGCTGCGCCGACAGGAAGCCACCCTGCCGGCTTCTTTGAAGCAGTTTCTTCCTGGGCTGGTGGAGGAGCGAGAGAGCGACTGAGAGAGGAACGAGGCGGGAGGAAACCGAAGCCGCTGAGCCGGAGAGCAGGACAGGCTTCGGTTGCTTCCTCCCTCCCCTTCTCTCCTTTGTGTTCTTGATCCCTGATCCCAGCAGCATTCACCGAAGGCGAAGAAAGCTGCCATTTTTATTTTATTTTTTATTTTTATTTCTTTGCGGCCCGGTACAAAGTGATCCACGGACCGATACCGGTCCGGGGCCCGGTGGTTGGGGACCCCTGCTCTATAGCACCTGAAAGCAAGATAAGAAACAAAAGGTGGAAGAATTATATACAAATATCCAAACTTGAAGTAAGAAGAAATTTCCTGATTGTGAGAGGCACTAAGCAGTGGAACAGCCTGCCTCCTAAACTTATGGATGTTTAATCACTGGATACTTTCATAAAAAGATCAGACAGCTATTTGTTTGGGATGGTCTGAAGATTCCTGTCCTGGACAGTGGAGTAGAGTAGAAAACCTCCATGATCCCTAACAGTTTAGCCTTACTACTGCATTTTTATCATATTTACCTCTGTTTCTGGACTTATCCTGATACTAAGATCCCCAATCCCGCACCTTTGTGTTGCAGATTGTGCAATGTTTCCCAACCTACTATCATTCTCCAGCTATGTTAGGAATGGAACTCCCAAAACTTTGGGAGTTGTACTCCCAACAGATTTGGAAGATGCTAGCTTGGGTGAGGCTGAGATAGAGCACAAGTGAAGATATGTGTTGTACTATAGTTAGATATAAGTGAATACCAAATTAAAAAAAATACTAAACACCCTTTTTATCTTGTAGGATACTCATCATTCATTGAGTTATAAAGCATTAATAACCCCCCAAATCTACTGTTCGTCATAGCAAAAAACGCAAACTATTCAAAACTATTTTTGAAACTATGTATGAGATAAAACACAGTAGCTGTCTAAATATACTGTTCACACACACACACACAACCAGAAGATACAAGAAACTATGGCGAGCCACCACTGGCCAATGCAATTAAGCAAAGAATTCTCATAAATAAGCAATTTCTGAGGGACAAGAAGAATAGGAATCAATAACCAAGTAAATAATTCCAAATTGGAGCTTTTATAGTTGAAAGAATAAACCTGACTTAATATTAGCAAGGCCTATTTTTAACAGGTTGCAAAATAACATTCAGAAAGCATCCTGTTACATAAAATTATGTTTTTCTCATTGAACTAATTTGTTTAGCTTTCATTTCCATGCAATCTTTCTTTTCAATTGTAAACATAGATCACATAATTGCATCAGATATTCCTAGCAGTTGTTTCTAGCAGACAAAGGAGACATGCACAGATGAGCTCATTCTTGCTGGCTGCATTGCACAAGTTGGCAACTCCTTGCCATTTACAAACAAATGGATTTCCATCTATGTAGTATGCATGAGTTGGTAAGCACCCTTCCTATAGCTGGAAAGAAATTGATCATACATAGGCATTTTTTTCTGGTGCATTCACCTGTCGCAACAGAAATAAACTAGTGTATCAGATTGAATAGAAATGCCTAGCATTTTGCTACACACAACCATTTAACAAGATGCACAATCTTCTTCAGAGCTGTAGATCTCAGAACTCACCTTCAGCTTGTCACCAAAGGAGAGTTTGTGGATGACATGGGTCATATCAGGATTCTGAGGCTGTGCAGTGGCACTATGTGTTGATACATGAAAGTTCCCTGGAACCTAAAAGAAAGCAAAGTTCAGATTCTGTTGTGCTTCAAACCATCAGCAACCAATGTTTGATGTCTAATTTGAAACTTCAAAATCCCTGGAAGGATCAGCAATGACTAGAAATGCTTGAAATGCTTATGCAATTAACCCCCACCCCCTTTAAAGGTATAAGAGCAAAAAAAAAAACAAAAACTGCACTGGATTCTTTTAGGTTTTGCAACTAGTCAACAAAGAAACTAGCTAATATGAAAAACATGGTAAAGAAAATAATAATCATACTCTTATCAAGAAAAATATTTACATGGCAAAATGAGCAAGAGTGATAGCACACCATTTTTAGGCATATTCTAACATGAATTCATAGGTAGTACAATTTCATAGCCTGTGGTGTAAACAGGAGGCATGAGTTGGCTGTACATCTTTATTCTACCAACAACGTGCTACACACTCCTTTTCCTCCACCCTGTGGACTCACAGGTTGCCGTATAAGGCTGGATTATCTAATGCCACTCCACCCATCCCATGAAACAGGTCTGGTTTTTCATAGCTGCTAGTAAATGAAACTGGGGCTCTTCTACTCCCGTCCCGAGAGCTGAAGATCCTTGCTCTTTAACATCAGGATGTTTCTTCCCATCAGGGTGCTTTATTAGCTAATAGGTCCTTTATTAGCTAATAGGTCCTTGGAATAGAAGGCAGCATTGTACTACTTTAGGTTACAGTTCTTTGCCCTGTGGTGACTCATAAACCAGAAAATACAATGTTTTGATGAGAAAAGAGAAAAAGCAACAGGCAGACTTGTTATGCTCTTCAGAAAGTCGGAATCAACTCTAAAGCACTTTAAAATTCTACAATAACATTATGAACTGATGAACCAAAAAGTGAATCTATCAATATAGCATTATTTCCTCTTTCTGTCATACTCTTTGCCTCAGTAAATACTACTGTGTTGCCCCGAAATAAAACCCTGTTTTATTTTCTTTTGGGCCCCAAAATAAGCACCAGGTCTTATTTTCAGGGGATGTCTTACTTGCTTACCTTAGGACCACTGCAGTCAGGCCTCCCATGCCCTGACACCTGTCATGCCACTGCCTGACTTCTTTTGCGGCCACTTGCAGCCGCTTGCAGACAGATGCCACATGGCTCAGCACACCGGAGCTACTCCTCGCAGCAGGAGGCTGCATGGTGTGTTTGCTATTGCATGCGTAAGTGACAGCACTGGCACAGTGAGCCCTGCGGCCTCCTGCTGCAAGTGGTGACACTGGCACAACACGCCTTTCAGCATTTTGCCACAAGTAGCGGCACCAGTGTGACAAGTCATGCAGCTTCCTGCCGTGAGTGGCAGCATCGGCATGATGTGCCACATGGCATCTGGCCACAAGCAGCCGCAGAAGAAGTCAGGCAGCAGCAATCCTCAGGTAAGTGAGTGTGGCTTGCATGGGGAAGCTCTACTCCCGTTCTAGCTTGTTTTTTATTCATGTGCCTCACCCCACCTCGTACAACCAGATGGCGGGCAGGGCTTAACTAGAGCTTATTTTTGGGGTAGGGCTTCTATTAGACACAGGCGTGAAAATCAGGCTAGGGCTTCTTTTCGGGGTAGGTCGCATTTTGGGGGAAACATGGTATATGCAATTTTCTTTCCTAAATTCCTTTAGAATTTGGGCTGCTGCATTTAGCCAAAATAAATTTCTAGTTTAATTGATTAAAGATGTGTCCTGCAATTAATTATACATTACATTTTCTAAAGTATTTGTTTTAATGCAAGCAATTATAAAACTTCAGGTAGTATCAAAATTCTTAGAAAAACATTTTCTCTTTTCGGAAGGAACAAAGAATGTTTCGCCAATGATGTCTGGTTGCATACATACTTTTGACAACAAAAAATTGCAAGCTTTTTTCATCTAAATTGTTGATTTATATGCACATATAAATGGGTAACAATTCTAATTGTGACAGTGTATTGGTAACAGTTTGTTGTTGCTGCTATTTAAAGTAGTCTTAAAGCTAATCATTTAATTATGAAATCATTATTATTATTGGCATATGGGATTGTTACAGTAGTCAGGAGACTACAATGCTACTGAAGATTTGTAGTTTGTCTGCCTGCTTACCAGTTCTGTTAGGTACACACTTGTGTGTTTCCTACAGTGTGCCATAGGAAAGCAAACTAGCTTTGCGCTAGAAAGATAAGTGGCTCTTCCTGTAGCAGCATCCAAGCCCCTGTCTTCCCTGAAGCCACTTTGCAAACAGGTGCCATAGTCCGGGAGGTTCAGAACTGGCAGGAATTTGACTGCCTGCATGAAGCACCAACTCATCACCCCACTGAAGTAGTACCTATTTATCTACTCGCATAGAACATGCTTTTGAACTACAAGGTGGGCAAAATCTAAGATAAGTGATAGCAGTTCACCCTATCATGCAGAGCTAGGGATCAAACCGCTGGAGCAGAGACCATCTCCAGTTTCATTAAACCACTCAGCCAGCACACCTCTCATTATGAAATCATGTGAATGTATTAAAAGAACCAAAAGTTGGAAGGAGCCATTTAGAACATCAGATTTAACCCTTCTTAATCCAGGAATTCAAATTACAGCAGGGGTCGCCATCCTTTTGAACCTCAGGGACCACCAAACTCATAATTTTAAATCCCACGGACCATTAATATGAATTTTGACTGACAGTGGCTTGCTAACGTTGGTAGGAAAGTCAGCCCCACATTCCAGAGCCGCAGTAGTCACAGGACTGACCCTTTGGTCGTCCCAGAGCAGCTGCTCCTCCACCCAGGTGCACCGGCCTGCCATGGACTAGAGGAGCTGCTCCGGGATGACCAAAGGGCCAGTCTTGTGACTATTGCAGCTCTGGAATATGGAACCGACTTTCCCATCAACATCAGCAAGCCACCCCGGGGCGGATTTCCTGCCCCCGCCATTGGTCTTACTTTGCTCTACTCAAGGTAAGATTTGCACTCGTCTGAAGGATGTGGGGCAGTGGATGGGCAGGCCATGTGGGCGGCTCAGCCTTGTGTTCCTGCGCAGCCTGGATTAATTGCTTTGGGGAAGTGTTTTTGGGGTCATTTCTCTGCAGACCATCAACATTTTCTCACAGACCATCAGTGGTCCCCAGCCCACTAGTTGGCGACCACTTAATTAAAGCATTCCAGTCTAACTCTTGCTTGAACACACCCAGTAAAAGTAATCCCATCTTATCTACAAACTGGTTCTTCCATCAAATTTTGTGGAAATTTATTATAACATAAAATAAAAATAGAGACAAATATAAAAAGGACATAGGGGAAGGAAAAGAAGTGGGAACGATAAGAGGTAAAGAAAAAAAGAAAGCAGTGACTTTCAACTTTTTTCAGTGCGGTAGAGTACAAAATACAATTACAACCTCAACTTTTTGCTTTATTTATTTAGCCAGTACAAAGTAATGTAATCATCAAGACCTAAATCATAGTTTCATTTTTTTTCTTTTTACAGCATGAAGTCCAGAAGCAGTTTCAAAGATAGGTACCTTCCCTTAAAATTCATTTGAAGTGTGCTTTCCTGTAATTGACATTCATGATTAACAGATCATGCCTTTTTTCTTGTAATTTTTTCAGATGTTTGAACAGTGTTACTTTATTTTTCCTCAGTCTTCTTGTTTCATTTTAAACATTCATAATTCCTCCCATTACTCTTCACCGAAGCTTATTTTTAGTTCCCCAATGAACTATATCACCTTCTTCTGACTTTGTTCAGTTTGTCTGAATCTTGCAATGCCTAGACTTTAGATTGGATGGGTACCTAAAATGGGATCTGACTAATGCCCAATAAACTGGAATTACTACTGTCAGTGATTTTGGAAAGTATATTTAAAAATGAAAAGTGATTGTTCAAGACCAGCATGGAAATGAATGATGTTTATTAACAAGTTACTTCAAAATACTAAGGATGGGATATTTTCTTGCTAAACACCCCAATTGTTGCTTCAAACAGCAGAATGGGAAATCTACTTAACTGTAGATTGCTTCATCTTGTGGCAAAGTTCCATGGAATAGAGACACAAAATCAATTTTCTTAACAAGATTCTGATTTCCAGGATCCAAAGCTATATGAAAACTGTCAACCAGGATACTTATTCAGGAAGAAGTTCCGATTTCATCAGTTACTTCTGTATTATTATGAATAAGAAAAGTTGCAGGTACCTATGCCATTAAGGGGAAAACTTGACACCAAACCTGTTTTTTCTTCATAGATGACAAATTTTATACCACATTCCTTTACAATTTGAGGGCCACTTTTAAATAGCAGTGTTTACAATTTGAGGGCCACTTTAAACAGCAGTATTTTTTCCGCAGTGGTATATGACCTAAATCACAGTTCTTGCAGCACATTTAACTCTCTAGACATACAAGTTTCTTTGCAAAGGTTTTCAACATTTCCCCTGAATACTTTCAGTTTTACTTGCCTTGTTGATGCTGAAATGACCCTCAAATCTGCATCCATCGCCATTATTCAGAGGAACTTTCATTGAGTTATCAATATGGCCAACTTCATGTCTTCCCATTTCATCTTGAATATCTAATCCAATCACTACAGGTTGAAGACCAGAGTTAAAAAGAGAGAATTTATTATAAATAACTTAACATAAAGACATAGCTGTATTTCCCATTTTTATATGAAAGCAAAACTAGATTGAAAAATTATCATCATGAAATATTGAATGTTCCCCTAGTCGCTCCGGACTATAAGACGCACCTAGCTTTTGGGGAGGAAAACAAGAAAAAAAAATCTGCCTCTGCCTCTGCCTCCCAGCAATTTGCCTCTTTGCAGCAAACAGCAAACAGCCTGGTCAGCTTCAGCACAGCCTGATTTAGGACAAGCAGCTGATTGGTGGTTGGATCTGCCTCCTGGAATACCGATGACCAGCTGTTCCAGGCTGCGGGGATTGCCACCACCCATCACCACTGCCACCTATTGCCACCTCCACATGTCCCATTTTTGCCCTCCACGCATCCCATTTTTAGCTTCCACATGACCCATTTTTGGCCTCCGTGTGTCCTGTTTTCAGCCTGTTCCAGGTGGTGGGAATCCCTGCTGCTGCTGCCTCTCCCCGCCGCCTGGAACAGGCCAAAACCGGAATGCACAGAGGCCAAAACCGGGATGTGCAGAGGCCGAAAATGGGCGTGTGGTGGTGGTGATAGCTGGCAGCGGCAATGGGCGCCAATGGTGCCGACGATCCCCACAGCCTGGAAGAGCTGATCATCAGTATTCCAGGAGGCCGATCCAACCGCCAATCAGCTGCTCATGCTACATCATGCTGTGCTGAACATGTCCAGGCTGTTTGCTATTTGCTGCAAGGAGGCAAATTTCTGGGAGGCAGAGGATGAAGGGTGGAGGCTGAAGGGTGGGCAGGGCTTCAGCAACATGATGCTAGAATGCAAGCATCAACTCTTTTTTAGTAAGCTATCAACAAGTTTCTAGTATTTGATATGGCTCAATAGTGCTCCCCAAAACATCTGGTCAGTTAACTCGTACATAGAGAGGTGAATAAATGGAATATAGCTTTTGTTTTCCTCAAAGCCTTTCTAATATATATATATATATATATATATATATA